GGTGGGGGTAGCAACTGCGCAGTCAGTGCTTCTATTCTGAATAAAAGCCTGGTGCATGTAAACACTCGTCATGATCGGATTGTGCCCATGTAAACGATACATTGCGATTATTTAATCCGAATACATTTCAATCCGATCAAAGAATTTTGTGCATGTAAACATAGCTTATGTGTAGATTGCCTTGAAGGTTTTGCATTTTAAACAACATGAGTCGTGGACAATGAAAACAAAAATGGACAATTCAGATCTACAGAGCTAAGAACAAAGTGGATTGATGCCGTCTTAAATCCACCTTGGACCTGGTTTCGTAAGACTAGCTGTTAGCTTGTCAATCTGGTCAGAGTTAAATTCTGTTCCTCCAACTTGAAATTGTTCAAAAAGCTATTTATAACAGAGTAAACATGAATATGCACCAGCTTTCTTGAACAGATAAGAGTAAACCTTTAACGATAAACCTGCTAAATGCTTAGTGTCTGTTTTACCTTGAAGAAACCTTTGCAGCCCTCACAGGTGCGGACTCCGTAGTGCTGACAGGATGCATTGTCACCACAAACTGCACAGCGACCCTCACTGGATCCAGAGTTTGGGATTTTAGGAGACATCACGGCCCCCTCAAATATGCTGGGGCTTTCCAGGGCTCCATGGTCCAGGGAGAGGGGAGGACAGTGGAGTGGGGACACGTGTTGCTGAGGTGACAGGAAAAAAATATCATCTGGACCAGATGGAGTATCCTGATGCTGCCCCAAAGGAGAGTACTGATCCTGCGCGGAGCTGCCAGTAAAAAATGAGAGTTGCTGAGCCATGCTGGCCTTGTCCATGGAGAACGGGAGGGCCGGGGGGAAGGGACTGAAAGGGGAATCCCAGACAGGTGCAGACTCAGTTTGAAAGCCTGGCGTTGGAGGAGAAGCCGTGCCATAGATAGGGCTTCCATAGTTGTCAGAGCCACATGATGAGAGCGTTTCGTCCAGACAGCTTAGAGCAACAGATCCTGGGTAGCAGCCGTACACCTGGAGATCATCTAATTTAAAGGYTTGGTTCTGCATCTGTGGGCTGGGGCTCTCAGCTGCTCCAGGGTGGCTGAAAGAGACTGCCGAGGTGGACGGAGAGGTGGTAATCCTGCAGGAGTAGGCATCAAACTCCCCGATGTAGCCATTTCCCACCAAGGTGTTGATGCTGGGCAGCGAGGATGTAGAAAACTGGTCCTTTTGGCCACTGATTTCCATCACCAGTTTGGCACAGTCTGGACTCAGTAGCTCAGAGCTTAAATAGTTGTCATGGGGCAAAGATGCAAGCTGGGTTTGTACACAGGGCATYGCTAAAACAGAAGAAACAAGAAAAGAAATTCATATTGTGCACAAAAAAAAAAAAACAATCCTCAGTCACATATAGTTTTAAAGCATTTTCAAATTGGTACAGTTCACGTTAAGGCAATGCATTGGGAATAACTGCCAATTTGAGTCTTATTTGTTAGTTTTTCATTTGTTAAACCTTCCTCTGTAACCAGGTAAACAGTAGCCAATGTTAGCACAGTGAATGTGTGCTGTCTCATTTCACCCAACATGCCATTTCTCTCGCTCCAGGCCCCATCGGGCTCGGTTGGAAATTGCAGAGGGGTGGTCCRGTGGAGCGCTCACATATTGTCAGATATTGTGTTACTGGCTGCTAATGCTTTGAAAAGCTCCTTCAATGGAGGGCAACCCTCTCCTTGTACCAGAGAGTGTTACAGATTGGGTTTCAGCTTTGGATGAACGCCAGCTGAACTGGGCATAGGTAGTGAAGCACGTGTGTGGTTGKATGAGTGGGCGTGTATCCACAAGTGTATAGGTTTTACATGTGCRGCACTTCTAATTACTACAGTCTTTAAAACGTTGACGAAAGTCAAACAACAGGTCTCAAGCTAAAGTTTTGACGTAATAAAAGCGTCTTTATTTTTATGTTTGCAGTGACAGACTCCACAAAGTCGACACAAACTAAATCAGATGAGAGATGGTCTTACAGAGAGTTGTCAGAATATTAGAAATATATTCACRGATTAGTTGCAGTCAGTTAGTTCTTTTTGAAAGAACTCTTTAAAGTTGCCGTGATTTGGAAAACAACCTAATATAAAAACTTAAATCTATTCCTTGAAGCAATGCATACCCCTCACCACCTTGTGAGCCACCTGTGAGAGCTGGGAACATGTGTTGGGGATGACTCTCTGCTGCTACCAAACCAAACTGACTGAGTTATTAAATTTCCCAAATTTCCCCACACGGGACAATAAAGGCTATTTCTATTCTATTATTATCCATTTTAAGTTTATTATGATTGATTATCTGTGGCAGTCATTTTGAATTAAGGTGATTCTCAGAGTTAATCAAGTGTAGCTGTTCATCCAGTGAACACTTTCTGGGAATTTCATGATTGGTTCATGAGTTATTTTGCTAACAGAATAACAAATTACCACACATGCACACTAACACAAGCAATAACATCATCAACAACCTAAACAGTTAATAACAACAAAATCACAATGACTATTTTCAACTATAAATGAGTGATTTGTCTTGATGTGTTTGACAGTTTTCAATTAACTATTGTTTCCCAAAAAATAAAAATAAAATATGAGAGCAGGATTACAGAATAGCACCAGTTGTCAACAAACAAACAAGAAATTTATCAACAAATTACAGCTGCTAGTGCTGTTTTTTATTGTTTACTTTTTATGATTTAATTGCTAATTAAACTTGAGTTGTCCACCTAAATAATCATATTGACTAATGATCAAATAGTCTTCAATGAAGATTGTAAGTAATGACTGATGTTTAAGAAGTTTGAAAAGACTCTAAAAACATGTAGAAACTTCCTTAAAACACTTTAAACTTTTTCTTAAAGCTAAAACAGAGTGGACACATTTTCTTTAGAAGTTAATTTCTTATAAAAACACAAAGAATAATAAAAACATGATTCCTCTGTCTCTAAACAAGAAGTTAACTTTCACTCACCTGTTTCATGTGAATATCCGGCTCCTGGAGCCTTTTTTATTTATTCCAAACAGGAGAAGCCGATGAATTCACCTCTTCCAGCTGCTGTCAGCACACACACTCACACACACACATGCACACACACACCCACTCAGCCACACACACACACTGGGTCAGATCGACGCAGTCCGCTCCATACGCTCTTGTTTTTAGTCCTGGATGCGTCGACAAAAGGGCGGGCCTCTGCCCAAACATGGTAAACAGTTCCGGGTGAGGGAGCCAATCAGCTCTGCGCGTGACGTACGACGTTCTTCCGTCTGACGCACGCACGGAATTCCATTGACGCAAGAGCGGAGGGTGTACGTTGTTCTAAATTTAGCCCGCGGCGTTCACGTGGGGCTATTACTGAATGAAAAAGACTAAAAATAACCGGGTTTTGGAGCCACAGACGTTTTATTTTTTCAAAGGAAATGTAACTGTTTGAAATAATAAGACATGTTATCACAGGATTAAACAAAAAAAAAGTTTTTCTGTTTGTTTCCAAGTAAGGCTGTCATGTCATTTTCTTTCCTAATATGCCAGTTCAACTCCAGCAGTAAGTAGAAGCTTATTTATCTATTTTACAGATTATGTTGAATGACTTTAAATGTTAATAAAAGGCAAAACGTTTACAGCCGATTCTTAAAAGTCAGCATGACCATCAAAATAATTTTTGAAGAAATTCAGCCTATTTTAACAGCTTATAATGGTGACATATTTGTTATCAGGGTCAGGTGGTGGTTTGGTCTCTGAAGTGAGGGCCTGTGGAGACGTTATAAGTAGTCAGTATCTTACCTGCAGTGAAGTCTGAACCATCGCAGGTTGGAGGATCCAGTAACATACATATCAACCGCTTCGAACATTTACCTGTATGAGCCTCAAAAATCAGAAATTTTCACAAAAATTCCATAACCAAGGTCTGAGCCAAGGTCTTAAATGACAAACAAAACATAACCATTTTAGGTACTTACTATGTACAAAAATGAAAGTGAAATCAAACAGTTACAAGAAAAACGTGAGAAAAAGGACTTCAAATAACTGGCCTACAACTCGGCACAAACTGAGGTTGACGTGGCCCAGCATGGGTGGTTGGAATGTGCAGAATAAATGAAAGTCTATCCTGGTTGTTCCCAGATGGGACGTAACAAATTGGTGGGATAAAAGCTCCTCGGTCTCTGTCATTCAATCAGGGATGATTAACTAGAAACCAGTTTACATAATAAATCCTCAGGCACACCACAGTTGTAACACCCCCTTTCCCAAAGTGTTCCTTAACAGTTAAATGAGGAAGCAGAGGTAACTGGCTGATCAGACTGGGATCTATTCCAGAGTGGATTTCAGCCATCAAAACAGCTTTAACTACAGAAATGTTACACTGGTTCAAACAAACGTTACATTCTGAGATTTACTGTTACTTTTGGCTCACATAAGTTATAGTTATACACAGATTGTATATTATACTGTAGACCAGATGGAATGGGTGTGAAGGACAAAGCAATTTACTGTCAGGTGGGAGATTGGAGTTCAAATCTGGACAAGATGTTTTTTGACTTTTATTTTTAAAAGACGTGGCAAAACGTGATGATTTAAAACAAAAGCAGATGTAGACACTTTGAGTCAACTATGCCCATTGGCATCTCTGCTGATGCCAATAGGATCAGCATAAAGGGATTTATTTACCACTTACCTAATTCTGTGGTCATCTTGCACTCCAAAATAAGTCATTTCAAAGTTTTTACTCCACTCTGTCTGATTCATTGTCAGAAAACAAAGTGCAGTTTTAAAGCCTTTAAATAAGTGGTTCTTAACCTTTTTTGAGGTACCGAACCCACCAGTTTCATATGTGCATCCACTGAACCCTTTTTAGTGATAAATAAAATTTGATTTTTTTTTCCAAATTCAAGACGTAGGTATATGTTTTTTACAGGTGTATAAAATGAGCCGGGCATGAACATCACCTTGCTCAAAGAAGAAAACCAACACAGTGCATGAACTCACAACAAATTACAGTTTGACTTTATTCTGGACCCAAAAAAATAATTTGCCACCATAAATAAATTTCAGCCCCCCAAAAATATATATATTTTTACTATTTTACTAATAAAAAATAAATTAGGATTTTTTTTTGAAGAATTTAACATTTTTTAATAACTTTTTTTATTATTTTAAAGTTAATTTGTTTTTTGTCATTTTGAATCCACAAAATACTTTTTTTGGGGCCAGCACTGATTGGCCAAGAAATCTGTCTGACAGCAAGTGATGGCCAGGTGGGGCGTGTCATCACAACTTTACACAAGTGTGTCTTTCCTCTGCGGCAGAGGCCCCACCGAACCCCTGAGACCGGCTCATCGAACCCAGGTTAAGAACCACTGCTTTAAAGTATGATTTTGTTTCTTTTCTCTGTCTGATTTGTGAGGCAGTGGGTACTGGTGTTCAGCCAAAGTGGACTGAACCATCTAAAAGCTGGGTGGTTAGGGATGGCATGGGGGGTGGGAGATCTAGAACGTATAGCAAATATTGTTTAATATTAATCTGTTTATTAGAACCAATAAACATGACATGCTAAGAGGATGTGCAGATATTATTATATATGAAATTGATTTAATGAAATACAAACCAATAGAATTAAAAAATATATTTAAAAAAGTTTGAAACTGCAGCCATCGCCACGTGACGTGTGTGAGGCAGCCATGTTGGATTTTGCTCACAGCTGGTACAGAACATCAGATTTTCCGAGCCAGGATTCTGATTTGGAGGAAGGTGGGGGGTCCTAAAGTGATACTAGGACTCACAATCCTACAGGGACATGTAACATAAATAAAGACCCTTACTCTGACTCCCAAAATATGCCAGCTACAACCATGTGAAGTCAAGAGATGCAATCAGTGCTGAAATGTCATCATCGCAGAATTCGCACTATGAATGTTACCGCCACAGCTGCCGACGTCCATTTGTCATCATTAGTTTAGGCATCACCTAATACCCCTTGTGTCATAACATCTCCACAACAACCAGACAAACCAACATGTCTTTGTGTCTCTCGGGGGTGTTTGTGTGCTGCTCAGCTCGTGTAAAGAAAGAAAGAGGTGTCTCTGTGAGCTTCAACCTGCTCAGGCAGTCTGAACTTACGAGACGTAATTACAGGATTTGAGCTCGGAGCTCTTTCAAGTATGCACATAAGTAACAGAGTATAGACACTTGATCGTTTTATCCTTTTCACTTTCTGTCGCATTAGAACACACATGTATTAAAAGAGAAGTGCACACATGCACACATACACTTTCACACCATTGCAGCAGCTAATGAGGAATATCAGTAGAAGTGATCATATTATAGTTACTGTGGCCAAAATTCACTTTAGTACCAGTCTCCTGAATAATTCAAAATGTCCTTTCTCCTTGACCTTTTTCACTTTTTGCCACGTTTTGCCACATTTCAGCAATAAAGGTTTTACTTGGAATTATAGTTTATTTTTTATTATTGGATATAGTATTTTTTAATGAAATGAATACATTTTTGAATTGAAAAAAAATTTTTTTGAATTGAATTTCAGTGACAGCCCAACACAAGTAGAACATAATTATGAAGCAGAAGGGAAATGCTGCGGCGGGGTTTCTTCATCTTTTTTGCAGTCTTTTATATCAGATTATTTGTTTGGTGTTTTAGAAACCATCCCTCACTTCCCCCCTCATTACTTCTAGATTAGCCTTCTTACTCTCCCTCCCACACCGATACCAGTCTCCCTGCAGACTGACACGTTTGTAATAACATTTCATTTCACCAACTCTGATAAAGTAATTCTTTAAGTGGGAAATACACAGAGTAAAGCCTCCCACAAAAGCTTACTGGTTAAAAAAAATTAATTCACCTTTCAGTGTACCGATTGAACGAATACCTAATAAATATTTTTTAATTCAAATAATGTGGGCTTTCAATTGGCACAAATTTATTTTGTTAGGGTTATGATGTCTTTACTTAAAGGGGGTATGTATTTTCCAGGCACATAATTCAATTCTACACCCCAATCAAATAACTGTTACCTTCATTTGAGAAAAAGCCATATAAACCAAAATTAAATATGACTTTGCATCATCTAAACACCTTGAAATCGGCCCTCGTGTTTTGAAGAACCTCCTACCGTTTCCGACACTTCCACTTCAACACGTCTTCACAACAATGCTTCAGGCTGCAGGGAGAAGCTTTGTTTAAATAGGTGGTGCTTTGTACCAGCATGCAGCTCCACATGGCTACCAGAGGAGATTCATGGATTTCTCAAACATGCATGAATAGGTATGTTTTTGATGACGGAATGACAATACAACCCCCCCCCCCCACCCCCTGTGAACTTTAGCTTTTAGAAATGCCCTCCTCAATAAATTTTACAGAGGGGGACCTTAAGTTTGATGTGAGAGTAGCTGCGAATTTCAACACATGTTCTGAGATAAAATATAAATAATCTTACAATAATCTAGTAATATTGCAGGAGACAGCACAGATTATTTAACATGTTTGGTCAAAACGAAAGTAATCTTAGTCCAAAACTCAGGTAATATGCATTTCTTTAAGGAATGGCCATATTTTAGAGTGACTTGTCTACTCAAAAAAAAAAAGCATCATGAGTGTCCAACATCCTGATTAACTTGATTAAAAATCGAACAAATAAATGCTGCTTGTTTCAGTATTCTTCAGTCCTGTTTATTCACATATTCAGCCATGGGATTACATTAAAGATTCCTCAGACAATTTAGAGTTAAAAATAAAATTTAGTAATATCAAGGTAAGATTACATTTTTACCTGCACTCTCTAATCCACATTGGGTTGATGTAATGATATAATCCATCATTTCAATGTGATGTATGAAGCTCTTTTGAAATTGAGAATACAACATGGTCAAGATACATCCAAATGACAAATACAAAATTTGACTTTAAAACAAGACAACATGTGAGTATACGCAAATGTACACAAGTATCCTAAAATCTACCACAAATATGGCTTCAATGGAAAAAAAACGCACACAAAAAGTGACTCGCTTTGGCCTTACTACTACCACATTTTGGCAGGAGTTCATCCTCATAAACATTTTTTTTAAAAGAAGCGCAATGCAAAGATGTAAAATCTTAAAGGAATTTATGTTCAGCGCCTCTGAATACTAAAAGCAGTGAACAGTGTTGACTGTAACTGCGGTAATCTGTAAAAGCAACATCAAAATTCAAAAACAGGCTGAGATTTGACATTTTCAAAAAGTCCTTATATTTTAAACATTTATTTTAAATGGCATCACTAACTGGTTATTTTGCATGGACACACACTGACGGTGAAAGACGAAACTCAACAATACACTACTGTAAACATAATTCATCCACAAACTACTGTAATGTCACAACATAAAACGAAAACTAAAAATTAAAAAATCCTAGTTAATTTACAGACACACAACATGTTCTGCTCTTTCATACAGACACATGGGATCACATTTAGTTGGCACACACTACTGAAAACATTTGCACATTGAATTTTGTACACACGTTCAAGCAGATTTTTTTATATATATAAACTATATAGCAGGGAATAAAATAAAAGGATATGTATATACAAAATAAAACACTATCACATGTTTAATATTGGACTGAAACACTCTGCAGAAACCCCTCTGCACACTCCAGGATGTAGAGGACTCTTACTTGTGAAAGAAGCCAGATGCTTTTGTTGGTGGCGGCATCAGCATGTTGGCCTGGTTCTTGTGAGTTATATGAATCTAGAATTTTTTTTAAATGAGAGTTAAAAAACATTTTTATTAGGTATATCTGCTTTTTATCATCAATCTCCTCCATAAAAACATGTTGTAAGGGTAAATGTACTAATTGTTGTTAGGATGCATAGATTTTTTTTTCATGTGATATGAGCTGTGCCAGAAACAAAACACACAGATTAAACTATTTTCTTTTTTATGTTCAGGTTTGTGGAAGTGAGGTTCTGTGGAAAAGTCATGCACAATTAATATCTTACCTGTTGCACATAACGTTTTACATGTTTAGCTGGATGCTAATAAAAGCAGGGAAAAGACCCAAAGCGAGTTATTGTCTTAAAACATTTCCAGTCTCATATTGGTTTGTGTAAATACTGTAAATCAGTTTTGCTTTAAACAGCTATTTACTTACAATTTTACAATTATTTGTGGCAAAAAAATAGCAACTTCAGCAGCTAGCTGTAGCACTTCCAATGCAGTCTAGTGCACATCTKGCAGAAATGCTATATTTCTGTTGGAATACTGTGCTATGTAAAACTGATGGAGTTTTAGATGTTTGTTGTAAATTTTACAACAACAGTAATTTTGTTGATCATGGCTGATTAAATTGTTTAGTTTGCTGTTATTGTCAGAGATAGTTTTTCTWAAAAAAAAAGTTTTCAAAGCGCTATCTACAACAGGTAAGATATTAACAGTTCATAACTTTTCCACAGCACAACCCCTTGAAATGGGCTATATTTTGACCATTATATTTTCATATTTAATTTAATTTTACATTTTGTTTTCTCTTAAATTTGGCCTCAACATTGATCATCCTTAACAGGTCTATATGGCAGGACCTAATGTGTCTCAGTGGTAATAATGACAGCTAAATTTAGTATTTATAATTCTGTCTTGTTATCTTGCAACTTACAACTGCATTCAGTTCACTGCTAGTTTCAAAACCACATTGTAAAATTATGAATTACATGTTTTCTTGAGCAAACTACTTCAAAATGCTCTCAGTGGACGAGTGTGTAAAGCTGCAAAATTTTAAAWAGACAAACAAAAGTCCTGTACAATAAAATCATATAGTAAATGTATACCAGATCAGAACTGGTCTGGCCCTTGTCTTTCTACACAGTTCTGCTCAAAACTAGTTTCCCTTCATAGACAAAGGTTTCTCCGGTAGAATTTCAACTGGGCCAATTAACTAACAGAAGGAGGTGTTGTGAATGGCAACGTTGATATTCTGCGCCATTTTAGTCTGCCTGTAGTTTAGCAATGGCAGCARAGAAAGTAAATGAGGCCAGTTTGTGTCGACAAGGTTGCCAAATTAAATTGAATTTGTCTGACAAAGCCTGCAACTCTCATATACAGCCATTCGTTCTGCTCAGTCCTTCTCTCTTTCCAGTAGGGGCTGGTTGTTTACAGCTATGCAATTTCCGGTTAGCTTATTAGCCTATCTTCCTTCAGGGTCGAGCTGGCACACACATACGTCATGGCCAAATGTTAGCGATTGATCAGATCCAATCTTTTTAAACTTCAACAGAGTACAATGCCTCCAGCAAGAAATTGTTCCTCAATAGATGAGGTTCCAGACCCTCTGTACGAAGCAAAGCAAAGAACAGACCAGGCTGGTAAGTGTTACCAAGTGTGCACCACTGTGTTCCTTTTCGGATTCTAAAAAWTAAATGCAAGATATCTGTATGTGAACTTGTCCTGTAGGCTGGTTTTTAACACTTACAGTACAAGGAGGCTGCATCCACGGCTCCCCATCAATCTGCATGGGTAACGCTTTGGACGTCCTGCACAAATAAAAAAAACAGGGTCAACAGTTTTATAATATCATCACTGACGTTAAAAAATGTGTACTTTCATCAGATTGTGATAACAATAACCTTAGATCATTTTGATTAATACGATTATTTCAGTTTTTTCTATATCTGTTATTGAACTGATGAGTCGTTTTTATCATTTTGTGTTACAACTGAAAAGAAATTCTTAAAACCTGATGGTGATTTGGGAGGTCTGTGCCAGTCTGTGCCCGGCGCTCTTCAGTCTAGTGTAGATCTGGCCCATCTCTAGAACTCCTTCCAGCCCCACCACCTCAAAACGCCTATCGCTTATATCTGAAGAGTAAAAAAACCACAGAGAGATTTTAAAAAGATTTTGATAACAACCAGACTCATTTTTTGTTGTGTTGCATGTAGAAGAGTGCAGGAGAACTAAAGACTTGCCTTGTGAGACTGATTTGAGAACTTCGGGATCAGTGATAACTTGACTGTGCTCCGCCTCCGACAGACTATCAGACTTTTTGGATTCGCCCCAGAGGTTGGAGCCGCCGTGCATGCTGGGAATGTTGAGGACAGCTATGCCCTCTAAAGACACGTTGTTCAAGTCGAGCTGTTTTCCACAGCACTGACAACACAAACGACATTTTAAACATCAAACCCAAGTCGTTCTATTTGGTGAAACAGCTGGATGGCTGAAAGAGAAACGCTAACCTCAATAAAGAGACAATCCTTCAGCTTCTTACAGGAGGCAGAGATGGACTCGGAAGTGGCAAACTCCAAATACCTCAGTTTGTTCTTCATCCTTGAATAAAACAACAAAGGAAAACAGGAAGAGGTGAGGCCTCTTTAGTTTGAGGATGATAGAAAACTGTTAGAATTGTCTCTCTCATCTACCACCACACAAAATTTCAGCTCAATATAGTACAGATATATCATATAATATATATATTTTAAAATGACATGGGGATTGCTCTTGGCTACCACCTTACCAAATTTCAACTYAGTATTTTAAAAATGGCTGAGRTCCAACTATTTGAAATTTGCTTYGGTGGTCATCTTGGATTTTGTTTTTCCATTCAGATTTTGTTAGAGATTATTCTCGGCTACTACTACTATATACATTTTCAATTATAGCCCTTGGTAAAACTAGCCTTAGCGGTTAGCATCACTATTGGCTACACCACAAAAATTTTCAGCTCAATAAGTCTTAAAATAGCTGAATTATAGCCACTTAAATTTATCTGTGGTGGCCATCTTMATTTTTCAAACCCAGTGTAGATTTCCTTATTTATATGTGCCCCCATAGATAACACCTTGGCCACCCCCAGGGCACCCCTTGCATAAAAGTCTAGCTCTGCCCCTGGAAATTGATGATAATAAGAATAATGTGTCTTGTTCTGTGTGAATCCTCACCTGCTGTTGAACTTCTGGGGATGTTTCTCTCTCATGGAGTGAAAACGATGAGCAATAGAAGCATCCTGCGAACACAAACATTCACAATAAACCATAATCCAGACACACATTTACGTTTCTGTGTATTGGCAGTTTGTGTTTGAAAGAGGCAATAAATCCTCATGTGGTGTCCTCCCTATCGAGTCAGTGACTCACCACTCCGATAGAGAAGTAGTTGTTCATGATTTCATAAGGTACAGGGTCTCCGGCCTCATTAAGGTTGTTTGGGATCACCTGGATGCTCCAACGATCCAGAGCGATCACCTCACTAGCTTTAATCTCCTTCAGGATTTCTGTCAAGTCCGAGCCCTCGTAGCCTTTTAAGAGTTTACAACAGAAACAGCACAACGTTGTAACAAGTTTACTGCTTACATCTGAGTTACACAGACTTTGTCAGAGGAAATGTGTGAATGTTGCACCTCCTCCCCAGCGTAGACAGCGAGCCATGTCATTCCCGGTGCCCAGGGGCAGGACGGCAACTGGGGGGCACACCTGGAGATCTGCTTTGTCTGAGATCACAAACATTTCATTTCATTTAACGCTAATGGTGGTCATTTTAATCTTCTCTATGAAACTCCAAACTATGAGTAATACCTATAGCATCCAGCAGCCACCCGACTGTGCCGTCTCCCCCACACACCAAAATCTTGTACTGATGCAAATTCCTGAAGAATTGGAGTCTATAAAACAAAGTCTGTATTATTAATTATAATAATGATAATAATAAGAACATTTAATGGCATTTAACTGCAAGCTTCTTTTGTACTTTACCCCGGAGAAGGACCTCCGTTGGACAAATTGTAAACCTGACGTGGATTCAGCAGATACTGAAACTTCCTGAGCACCCTGCACAAAAACACAAACAATAAGTAAATAAAGTGAAATACTAATACTGTATATTGTTTCAGCTATAGCTATAAAGTGTTCAAATGAAAGAGCAGATGTTTTGAAGTCAGGTTCTGTTATGAACACTCAGTGTCTTACCTGCTGTAGATGACCTCATTTTCTAAAAACAGTTCTTCATTCTGTCTGATTTAGTAAGCTAATGGCTAATCTGAACATTAAGTGGGTCACTGCCATCTTAAAACAAATCAAAAACTTTATGAAGGTTTAAATAAACACTGTTTTATAAACCTCACTGGCAGTTTCAAAGTATGTKATTTTACATAGAATCCTGGTTGATTGAAATTACAAATAGGAGGAGCAGTAGCAGCTAGCTGTAGCACTTTCTGTGCAGCCTGGGCCAATTCCYGCAGAGTTATCCAAATTTTTCTAATAGAATACCCATGCAATGCCAAATTAACAAAAGTGTAAGGGTTGATAAAACAGCATTTGGATAAAGCACCACTCACTTACTCCTCTGACTAATAAATGTGCTCTATACAGAGTTTTTTTTTTTTAAATAAACAACATAGTGTGTCACAGTGTTGATATAATATGATGTTTTTTTTTCCTCATCTGTCCTTGTGTGGTTTTTAGTTTTTCTGTTAAGGGTCGCACCTCCTCATGATGTCTTCATGAAGATGATCTTTGCTCTGTGCAGGGTCTGTGGCTGCATGACCCAGAGCACCTGTTCTCCCATGTTTGTTATGTTCTGTCTTCTTCTGAATGGGTGTTCTGAACTGTAATTTCATTATGCTCTCTGTACAATTACAATAAAGGTCTCTCTAATCTAATCTAACGAAGAGTTGTTTTAAAACAGCAGCAATCCACTTTAGTTTTGGCACCACTCAGACCATCTGTCCAATCAGAACAAGCTATTTGTCCAAACTGAGTTTATACAAATATTAATTGTTCACAACCTTAAGAACCCATCTTCAAAAGATTTCCTAAATGTCTCAACACATGTTAACTAATTATGTAACTGCTTCAGTTTCTCGTGTTTATACTGTAAGCCTGTTTCTTACCGTTCACCCTGGTTCCCTCCACTTTTAGGATTTACAAACACAAGTAAAGGATGGGTGTCTGGAATTTGGACAGTCTAGGAAAGCACAACAGATTAATATGCATTAATCGAAAAACTATCAGAAAAACACACAGGTGTGTTAGCATTATGTATAAATACTACATTTTACATGCGTATAACTGTGGGGTGCATTGTTGAAATACAATATTTTGAAAGTTTTGGTAATTAATGCATAAAAGCTGTATTATAAAAATCAAGTTTAGACTTGTTTAACTAAAAAATGAACATGGTTTTTATGCCACAAAAAAAGAACAATAATCTAWACTGCAGAAGAGTTAAAGTAGTCAATAGATAAAAAAAAACCCTGATATGTTCATTATTTCATGCGACACATTAAAATGATGCAAAAAGATCATAAAAGAAAAGTTTCTGGTCTTTTTGGTTCAGTATTTGGGAGTCATTCATTAAACCCAAAAACAACAATAAACAGTAAATGCATATAAACTAAACAAAATAAATAAATAAAATAAATGCAGTTGTAAAATGTCAGAATATTTGCTATAATCATGACAAACCTGCAGGATTTGACCATCAGGAGTGACATTCAAAATGTTGGTGTCGTCTTCCTGCTACACATAGAAAACAAACAAACAGATAATTGTTTAACTAGTGTTTTAATWAAAAAAAACAATCACAAACCATGTTTTGTTATTTATAATTACCTTCGAGGCAGTATAGATGGCCCATGGAGGCAAAATATGGTCCCTCAGTTCCCCACAGTCACATTTTGGTATACCAGTATTTATACAGTCATCATGGCGCTTAAAAAGAAAAGATCACAAATAAGTTGTCATCCATTATTTAGCTATGTGCACAAGTGTCCAAMAAGCCATCCTCACCATTTCCTGGCACCACACACAACGACTCCCTCCTAAAATTTTGATCTTCTTGAAGCAGACCTGACACTTGCTGCTGTTACAGTCAGCTTTGATCCAGTCGTGAGTGGGTTTCTGAAGCACAAAGGAAATAAAAAAGGAAGTGTCATGATACACATGAATACAAATTCTGCTGCTTTTACATTTTACTTTTGCAGTGCTAAAAAACTACTCAAATTCGTTTGTTTGTGGACGTTTCCAGCTACTAATTTTGTGGTGATGCTTTTTTTTTTACTAAGGCAAATTCAAACGAAAATGAATCATCACAGATCTATCTCTTCTTCAAAGCAGCTGCAGATGTCACAGAAAGCCTCAGATTTATGGTATTTTCAGTCAACATCAGCTTGACAGATGGGCATCTCCAGATAAAATATCCCTAAAGCATAATGGATCCCAAACATCCACTTACAGCAAAAGATACATGGTCAGCTCTCTGTTGTGATCCATTACAACAGGTTGTAAAACTGTAAGATGTGGCCCTGATTTTAAAAAAAAAAGGAAAAAAGAGATTGAGCAGCCCATTGTCTGTGCTTGTGCAGAATTAGGACATTTACCAGATGCACAGAGCAGACGGTGCCAGCTGTAATCTGCACTTAAAAAACACCGCTGGGATGCACTTACTCACTAATGCACTGTAATGTTCTCTGACGCTAAAGTATTAATTGTCGTGTACTCATTGGT